TTAAGCAGGGGGTTCACAGCAACAGAGCCAGCATCCTCTAGGAGCAGAAAGGAGTCATGGGTTACTCATCTAGTCCCACTGCTGCCAACATACAGCCCCAAGAAGGGGAACAACCCCATTATTCCTTGTGCCCAGCATCACTGACCTTTCTTGATCTTCTTTTCCTGGATCTTCTCCGTGCACATCTTGTAGGCCTCTGACTGCTGGTACTCTCGCAACTCCTTCATGTACTGCTGCTTCTCCCGCTCTGCCTCGTCCAGGTACCGCTGAAACCACACCAGGGTTAGATGCTCTGTGCAGAGCCAGTGAGGTTCCCAGGACCACAGACAGGAGAACAAGGTCACAGACCTTGGCCCCCATCTCCCTCTTAATAGGGCCCAGCAGGTGTTACCATAGACACCACTGAGAAGCCTATCCCAGCACACAGGGCTTGTTTCCAAGCCCAGTTCTGTTTCCACAAACACCAATGGCAAAAATCTCTGTTGACTTCAATGGCAGCAAAACCAGCTGGAAGTGTTACTCTCAGCTTTGGGGCTAGCTGATAGTTGATGCTGAGGCCCAGTGGCGAGGCGTAGGAGATGCACTTGCACCCGAGAGCACTGGTGCACCCCCTGAAAGCCAGTGCTCCCCAGTTAGGTGACGGGCAGGCAGGAGTGCCAGGGGCAGGGGGGCAGGCAGGAGTGCCAGTGCCCCCCTGTGAGCACCGGCCGGGGAGTGGGGGTACCACCCCCCTGTGAGCACCGGCCAGGGAGTGGGGGCACCGAGGGAAGCACTGCTGGCAACTTCATGCTTCTGGGTTGGTGCAATCAGCCGCGAGGGAACTCTCCCCCACCTCGGGTTGGTGAGATTGGCCACGGGGGACCCCCCCCCGGTCACTGACTCGCTGCTGGGGGGGGGCATGTGCCCCCCCTGACTCAGAAGGCACCAGCTGCCCATGCTGTGGCCTACAGCAGAATGGCTGGTCAGGTGAATCTCAGGTATGTAATCCCTGTAGCCAAGGCAGAGGACATATCCCAAGCCTCCTGCAGCAGCAGATTAGGTAAGCACTATGGACTGGGCTCCCTAGATGTCTTCCAGGGGACCCTGGTTACCCCTTTCTAAAGCACCTACTGCAGCGTGGCTCTTGTACTGCACCCATTGCCACAGAAGTTTCCCAGATCCCATTTGCAGGTGGCCTCTCCCCTGGGAGCCTGGTCCCTCCCACACCTGTTTTTCTGAGGGTTGGAGCTTGCTCCACTCAGCTCCCAGCATCTTGGTGATCTCGGGAAAGGGCAGGTCAGGATGCTGCATGCGAATCTGCTCACGCCGTTCATTTAGGAAGCGAACATAGCCCGTCACAGGGGCTTTGGGGCCATTGGGTAGGATCTTCTTCCTCTTCTTCCCTTTGGGCCAGCCCCTCTTCTTCACCGGCTGGTGCCCGAGGGCAGGAGAAAGACAGACATGAGGATAAATATGTACAAGCTAGACTGGAGCTCACTAAGCTACTGGGTACAATGGGGAGAGAGGGACATAAAGCAATGCACTGGCACAGAGCTAAGCCTCCTCCGTCCTGAACCCTTTGTTTTTCAGGTGATTTGAGTTCCTGGACTCTCTTCTCAGCCCAGTGTTGTAGCCACAAGAGTTCCCCCTTCTCCTGTATCCATGGCACAAGGCCCTGGGATGTCTGGGCTGCATGGTAACGAAGGCAGTGTTATTGAGAGCTCAAGGATCTTGCACGTGGGCAACAGAAAAAGAGCTCCATCTAGGACTGGCATCTGCTTCCTGCAGTGCTGTGAACCCTAATATCCCACTGCTGGGCTACTGTATGGGAACCAGCATGGGAATGGCCTGGCATTTTTGTCAGAGAAGCCAGACTCTGAGGCCCAGGACTCACCTCCTCCTCGGTGTGGGGCTTCTCAGTGCTTGTGCGGGGAACCTCCCCCTTTTCTTGCTTGATGGCCACCAGGAAGTTTCCATGCTGGGCTTTGCTGGCAGCATGTCTGAAAACAGAGAGCTAGAGTCATCCCGGGCTGGAAGGAAGTCCGGAGGCACTACTGGGAGGCAGCACCTCTTGCAGGGAGAGGCTGGGAATGCAGGAACTGAGCTTCCCACTTATCCACCCTCTCCACACTTGTCCACGGCCTACTGAGAGAAGCCAGAGATGAAGCAAGCAGCATGAGCCATTCCCTCCCAAAGCCAGAGCTCCCCTACTGTTCTCTATAGCACGACCAGCTGGAAGCACAATAAATCTGCCCAGGACCAGGTAGTCCCCTGGTGTCCTGGAGTCCTCCGTGACACCATGCATTAACTGGTATTAACAATTACATATTCCTCCTTTAATTTGCTGTTAAGTGAGTCCCATATCAGCCATTCCAGTATTTCAACTGACAGGTCTATAACGTACTCAGGTCACTTTATCATGTTCACATCCTGCCCTGGCACTGGCTGTCTTCCAGCCCTCTGAACTCCTCAGTACTCTCAGACTCATTGGAAACCAATGTAACTTCCCAGACCTCTTTGAAAACCACTGGACACCATTTACCCAGACTTAAAAATGATCTACCTCAGGAAGCTACTCTTCAATATGCTCCTGAGTTACTATGGGAATGAAATGTATTTCCTGTGATATGAGGACATCATCAGTTCCCCCCTCTCCAGTGAGCACAAGGGAGAAAAAAAATGAATCGCGTCTGCTTTTTCTGCATTATTATAAAAAATTCTACCATTTCCATCAAGGAATAGATTAAGGCCATTGTTTAGATACTGCTCCTAAAATACCTGAAAAACTTTGCTGCCAGAGATTCCTCCTTTCACTTCCCTTATACATGTTCTACAGTCCCTGACTTGATTCAAATTCATTACCAACAGAATCTCCTTCCCTGCATTTATTATGGATGGTTTTAAGATTTTCTCATTTTTATAGCTACAGCCAGTATAGATGTACTTCCTTTATCCTTTTTACTCAAAACAAAAGCAATCAAGCCGCAACCACTTATTATGAAGCTATACTAATTTTAAGTTCTTGGATTGACTCCTCTTTATCTATCAAGCTGTCCTGCAATAGTTTCCCCCTGTGCGTTACATGCCATGTTTTGGGGTCTGCATACTGTCACCTCTGATAGATGCAAACTCCACAATTTTAGTTCTGACAGCATGAGGCCTCTGGGATGTGTCACTCAGACTAACACCCCCCCATGATAACACCACCTCTCCCTAAGCATTGCAGGTGGGTGCTTACAAAGCTGGTTATTCTACTGGGACCTTTAAAAATAAGCTTGAATGTGCTGCAATGCCAAACTATGCATCTGGGAATGGGGAGTAAGTCCAGGATTTGGGGAGGGGGGAAGGGCAGGGAGACCATGCCCTGCAAAGCAACAACTCCAGAAAGGATTTGGTGAAGTGGTTTTTCAACTATGTTCAAGGGTGGTTCAAAGGAACCTACTGCTAGACTCAGGATCCCCCCCTGGAAAATGCCAGCTCTCAGCTTTCACTCATTTTGTAACTATGGAAAAAAATACCAGAGTAATTCTTCAGTTGCAATGAACTCAGAGAGACGGCAGCAGGTCAGAGTGGTTTTGACACGATGGATTCCTATTTGAAGCTCCTGGGTTTGTCTTGCAAATCGTGTGTGGGAGTTTGCACACCTAACAGTGCTAACTGTGCTTAGCACTCCACTGTCACCCTTAAAAGGAGCATCTCATGGCAGCCGAGGGTGCCACATCACCTGGTTTAGAATCACTGGCTGCGTCTACATGAGACGCTGACTGCACAGTGGCTCATTATTACTGCACAGTAGCACTGTGTGGCACAAATGTGTGTAACACGACATTAATGTGCAGTAGTAATGAGCTACTGCGCAGTTGGCATCACCTAAAAGCTGTCTGTAATGAGCTACTGCACAGTCAGTGTCACCTAAAGCCATCTTCTCTGAGAGACAGGCCCTAGTCATGGTTTCTGCTCCAACCAAAGTTTTGGGAATTCACCCAGCATTATACATGCAGCTGAGTCATTTCATTCTGCCCCACAGTCTCTATGGCCAGAGTGGGGCTTTCTGAATATGTTCAAAAGGGAAGTATGGGGCAAGCATAGTTATGTAAATTGAAACAAGTGTGAACATTACATAAGTGCCAAAAACTGCCTTTATGTGCTTAGGCACATAAACGTGAAACAGGATTTGTGTCTCAGTCTCCAGTGACTGTAAACTTAGAACTGACACAAAGAGTTCAGGTTCTTCAGAAAGCCTTGGGAGACAAGATAAAGCATCCTGGATGCGGTCCAGAGAGCTCAGGCATGGAGAGAGAGGCTGATGAGGCAAAGAGAAACATGAGATAAAGTTTTTAGCAGAAAGGGTCAGATTCTGAGAGCACTGGGTTGCATTAGGTTTAGCACTGAATGAGAATACAGAATGGCACTGATGTGTAGGAAAGGTTAATTCAAGGGATCTAAGGATCACTCAGAATGAAGATGACAGAGGAGGGGCAGTGGGAAAATATGGAGTAGGTCTCAGCCTCCCAGCTGCAATAGCTACCACGGTCCAGTGACACAGTAGAGGTGCAAGCAGAAATAGGCCCTTTCCGGGGAGTGAGCTGGAGAATGAGTTGTTAGTCTCAAATTCCACTTGATTCAGCCAAAAACGTCTACATGCAGAGACAGGATCAGAAGAATGGCTTGTTACAAACCCTGCAGACCCTTTCATAGGGCCTCTCCTCCTATTTTTTTTTTAACCACCCCTGAGAGCAATTTTATCTGACCAAAATCTCTGCAAAACTCTGACACGCTCCACGAGCACGGGCATTCTCTTCAGAGCAAAAGGAATCCTTCACAGCAGCTCTTTCTATCTCTAATTTAGAAGCAGCAGAAGGGAGAGGAGGAGCTGCAGAAGCTGATGGATAATCCAGAAGCGATCTAATGAATGGACAGCTCGCAGATCAGGTGGCCACAGTCAACATGAAAGGCACGAGGATGCACTTGTTAGAGCAGAAGGACATATGAAAAAGGGAGAGGGTATTACAGTATATGCTAGGCATACATATGGAAGCCAGATGAGTCTGGGCTAGAAAAGAGAAGGAATTATGTGTGTTGATAGATAAAACACTAGAGAATTCACTTTAGGACACACATAAAGTAGGGGTAAGAGTTTTGAAGACGTGATGAGCGTAGAATGAGAATCCTGATTAGACACAGCCAGATGCAGTAGCAAATTTGAAGTGATGTGGGAATCTCCCTGCGAGTTTCATGATGAACTAAGCACAGTGTGGACAGCTTGTGATCTGACAGCAGAAGATACTTCCCTGTGCTTGTTGAAAATCTCACTCCCTTATTTGTGAGAGAAGGTGGAAGTGCTAGTGAAAGAGCACACCACAGTGAGTGAAGTTGTAGATCTGTAACAATATCTTAGAGCTATTTAGCAGAGCAATAGGAAAACATAACAACGTACAGTTAGCCCCATTTCCCTAAGGATCCCCCCAGAGTGGTGAAAGTGGAAGGACCAAGCAGGAAGAATCTTTCAAGGGCCAAGAAGGAAACATCTCTCAAGGTTGGTAGGGTAATGAAGAAGATCCAGGCTGAGTCCCCAAAATCACAAGGAGCAAGGCATAGACAAAGTTTGGGCACAGACTCTTGGGTTGGGATTTCAGTCAGCCCCTGAGCACACTGAGGACCCAGAAAGAAACTGAACACTGAGAAAAAATTCAAAGTGTGGCAGGTAAATGACAGGCAGAGAAATAAAGCTCCAGTGTGTGCGTCATCAAGACAAAGCTGCCAAATTTACAGAGTTGTCTGACTGGTTGTAACAGCCAGAGGCCATGATCCCTAAGAAGGTGCTTGCTGGGGAGGAACAGCATCCTAATGAACAGAATAGGTGCCAATGGGTCCTCTGTAAAGTAACGCCCATTGTAGGCATGGATGGAATTGGCACATCTTCATTATTAATGGTGGGAAGGGAACATCACTTTGTCTTACTAATAGCAGCCTGTCTCAGCATAGTTCGTATGAAGACTCCATTACAGTCCAACCTCACCATTTGGAGAATGCAGAATCCCCTCCTTGTTTGCAAAGAATCAGGTAAAGTTGCACTGTCTTGTCCAAATTTAACTGAGCTGGGCAACTTGTCAGTGACTCATGCCTTTGCCTAGTAAGCATGCCTGAGCTGTGAAATCTTTTAGAGTCTGATTTTCTTGCTGCATTATACGATGTGGAACCAACCATACCAACAAGCTGCTGTGAGTTGCATTCTCCAGGCTTTAAATCATTAAGCAGTAACAAGTTTAGCTTGCTGCAGTGTTGAATGGGTTCAAAAAGCACAGCCGTGTAAGGTGGAGGGCATTTTCACAGACCACGCTTTTAAAAAGGATGTGCAAAGGCTGGTAAAAAGCATCCAAGGCTTTTGTTAAGCATAGCATGATGCTGGGCAGCTGGCCAAGCCTGTTTTGATCTCTGAGCCAAATATTCCCCCACAAAAGCAGTATCCTTTCCCTGGTGAAGGTAAGCCTTATGTAGGACTTTTTTCCCCAGTATCTCCAAGTGATTTTGCATTTCATTAAAGCAGTGAGCTGGCAGTTCTCAGTCCTACCACAGTAAACTTTAGGGGAAAAGCAAGTTTCTTTCCCCTTTCCTTCTAAACTTGCCTGAATTTTACTGGTCTTTTGGATTTTTTATTCTTTTGCAAAAGATTTTAAAGTTTATTTTACTTGGAATATATGTAAGTATACTAGGGTTTTTAACTGTGATTGTTCGGTACATGTTTTGTTGTGTGCACTTTGTATGTCACGTACGTATAAGTATTGTCTAATGGTGTGTCTATGTCGTACACATGCTAAAGGCAGAATCCTGTTTCACTGTGCACACCCAAATGGCAGTTTCTGAGCTATGTTACTGCTATTTTTGGTGCTTATGCACAGCTTGCAAACCTACCTGAAGAGCAATGAGGACAAACGTCCACACGCTACTGAACACATGCAGTTGGCTGCACGCTGGCCTGGCAGATACATAAGGAGCTCTG